GATGGGGTCCTGGCAGAGGCACAGTCGGGCGGGCACGTCTGCAGACGGCGCCAGCGCTGCAGTGTTTTGCAGGCAGATGGTCATGCACGGGCATGGGAGTTATTACAAAAGAGGAGAAGTGGAGTGTGATACCTAATTTGTCTGCTTGCTTCTTTGTACTTGACTGTTCTTTTGTCTCTTTTTCTTCTTCCTCCACTCTGCGCACTCATTCATCTCCCTCCCTTTACCACCTACATGTCTATTATCTCTCCTGTTTTTAAGTTAACCTTTTCCACAGTGAGATCTGAGTATTCCAGCCCATTCCCCAGTGTGCCATTGACACACGTTTCCAAGACTTTTTCTGCCACAACATCAATCACCCCCTCTGCTTCTCGCCGCGGCCTTCCCCGCTTCAAAAAGATAGAGGCTCGCGTCAATGCTGCTTTTCATCATTCGGCGGGAATAAACCGGCGTAATTTTCAATTTCAAATTAAGGCTTTCAGGAAGAAAGTCATCTCGCTAAGACGCTCTCTCTTTAATTCTCTTCATGCATGTGCCCCTGCTCCAGAGAAAATGAGAAAATGCATCATTTCAATTTGCTCGGAGGGACGGATCATTTGCTGCGCGATATTTGGAATACTCCGAGTATTAGCCGAAGTTGTTTGCAGGCATACATGACACAGTTTCATGTCCTCTTTTTCTGATGTCAACACATTTCAGATGTTTGTTTCTGCAAGTCTTGTGAAAAGAGGCTTTACTCAGGCTATCCGTGCTTGTTGGTTTAAAGCTCCAATGAGGGATTTTTTTGGCTGGTTGTAAAAGCTGATGCTCCCAAAGTGCAAACAAAGACATCTGCGACAAGAGTGATCATTCCTATAAGGTGTTTTTTTAACATCTGTGGCTGCTGCAGCCGGGTTACACTCAGACAAAGCTAATCTGAAATGACCTTCATTGACATTCTCACCACAAAATTAAAAGTTTTTATGTGAAATCACCTGACATTCATTTATGTTTTGTCACCATTGCAACAAAATTTGAATCTCTGGGCACAGAAACCTGTTGATTTTGTTCCTTTTGGATTTTAAACTACAAAAAATGTTGCAAACCTCGTCTTTGAAGAAGGAGCTTTGACATACCGTAAAGACAAGAATATAGGCTCATTATTTTCCCTTTAATACATCTGAATAGAGGCGGATTGTCTTATATTTGGAGTTTATTAATTAAATCCTCTATGTCTGATGTTGGTGTTTACTACACAATTTTATGTTTACAATATCAGCTCAAGCAACACAACTGTATGACAAAGTAACCTACTTTAAAATCTACTCAGTCTGTGAGAACTAGCTTTTTTACGATTGACTCCGTGCTCGACTCTGACATCCAGTAATATCCCTCAGAGTAGATAGGTGTATGTTTTTAGACTTTCCTGATCCAATCCTTTAAAAACAAGGCCCCTGTTTGCTAATTTATGTGTTATTTTTGTTTGGCAGAGACGGCCATCTTTGTTTTGTTCTGTTTGCCAATCAAAGGCCGTATCTGTGAGTGACCGAACCTGAAAAAGTTCACTCATACAAATCAGATTTACTATTATTTAGGGATATTTTACACAGAAATCGTAGAAACAGAGCTATTTCTCCAGTTGATTGACCAACACCTACCCCCTTTCACTGATTTAAATGTTAAAAATGTAGGTATGAAAATCGTCAATCCTGTTGCTGTTGGGGGTTTTTGCTTTTAGATGTCATAAAAAGGCCTTAAAACTAATTTTAGCCTGTTCCATTGTTGTGGAAAAAACTCCCAATGGCAGCTGTCTAATTATCAGGGTCGTGTTGTATTTAGGTCAGTAGTGATACAAACAGAAAGATCACTTCAGTACATCATAAAGATGAACTGATTATTACACTTAATCTTGTGGTTAATAGCAAATCAATCAAGCACTTTATAACCTAATGGCACTTAAAGTTAGCCTATAAAAATAACAGATTTACTGGTATAAGCGTAAATGAGTGGCTGGTTTAAACACTCAATATACTGTAGATTCATCTATAACACATCCTCAGCTTCTAGAAAATAAAACACTCTAGCCCTTCAAAATAAAACATCTTGACATTTTTGTGACTCTTACAGCTATTCTTCTGTGTGTCTCTCCTCTATGGAAGAACCAAACAGAGTGTCTGCTACTGTTGTTGATTAAAATTTTATGAAGTGTTACTTTTTCAAGGACACTTTCTGTCAGGGTTACTTTTCACTTCTTATGTGGTCGGGCTGCGAGTGAGGGACTTTGTTACAACAGGTCCAATAGCAGAAGAGAGGAGATGTGAGTGTTTGAAGGTCTGTTGTCCAATATAGTTTATGTGAAGACAACTAGATGGTCAGAATGAGCAGAGATGATGTCTAAAGTCAGCTCCACTTTTGTCTAAGAGAACAATGATTATGGCAGGTAGAGCACACCTCCCATTCCTTTAAATGTGCACCTGAGGAGGCAGGGAGAGCAGCAGCAAAGACCCACAAGGTACAGAGGCAGGGAGAGCAACAGCAAAGACCCACAAGGTACAGAGGCAGGAATGGCAGCAGTAAAGATCCACAAGGTACAGAGGCAGGGAGAGCAACAGCAAAGACCCACAAAGTACAGAGGCAGGGAAGGCAACAGCGAAGTCCCACAAGGTACAGAGGCAGGGAGAGCAGCAGCAAAGTCCCACAAGGTACAGAGACAGGGAGAGCAGCAGCAAAGACCCACAGGGTGCAGAGGCAGGAATGGCAGCAGTAAAGATCCACAAGGTACAGAGGCAGGGAGAGCAACAGCAAAGACCCAGATGGCAAGTAGAGCACATCTTTCTATCTTTTGAGTTTACACACAAGGAAGCAGGGAGAGCAGCAGGAAACACCTCCAGGCATCAGTGACAAATAGGATGAGCTGTCAGCTGATATTGTCTGGGGCTAAGATCTGCTGATGTCCTTGACTGTTTGGCCTGCCTGAACTAGCACTTAGCTGTTACAGCTTTAAAATAAGTCAGTTCCACAGTGAAGGACATTATCTAACTTTTCCTGTCACAGTTTTAGCTTTAATTGCTTATCTTCTAGGGATTGACCAATCAGAATCCAGTATTTAACCCAGTCTAATAAAAAAAGAGCATAGCAACCTCCACTGAACAGTTGCTAAATCAGCATTTCTGCTTTGTTTGGTACTTTTTATGTGGCCATAACCATTTAAAAGGGGAAACTAAGTGCTGACATCAACATTCATCCTCTTTGAAACATCATTTAATGAAAATGGAAGGACATCCTGGCTCAGGATGGTATTTGTAGTTTCAAACACAGGAGCAAAATGCTTATTTGTAAGCAAACGTGTGTCTTTTTGGTGAGAAGGATGAATCCCAGAACAACAAGCAAGTTAAAGCAGAGACAGTTTAGCTGCTTCTTTTATGTTCACAGAGCTCCCTTGAACGCCTCGCTTGTTTAAACAAACGCCAGTGAACCTGAAAGCAGCCAGAGCTTAGTCCAAAACAGCCTCAGCTCGGCCAGTTCGTATGACAGACTCCAGTTGATGTCGCAACAACAGACAGCCTCCTCTTCTCCTCTACAGTGTTCATTCTTCTGCCGGCCTGGCCGCCGAGCTGGAGGGTGGTGGCTGTCTGGCGACGGTGGGGGCTGTAGTTTTCCAGCCCAGAGAGGGATAAATAAAGCACTAGACAATAGAGTCACTCTCCATGGACTTCAGCCTCTGGGCGATGCTCCAGCCTTCCCTGGCCAATTGCTCAAATGGAAATTAGAAGCAAGGAGACAGATTGTGAATCGTACATTTACTCGAGTCGGCTCGGATGGATCGATGGAGAAGATTCTGGAGGGCAAGGCCATCCAAAGACAGAAATTGGGGTGAAAAGGGGGCAAGTAGCCTGTTTGTGCGCATAGATTTGGTGTGTAAGAGCCAGGGAGTTGGTCACGCATCCAGCGGCGCCGACTTTGTTCGCCGACGACACTGCCTCCTCATCCTCCGTCACCTCTTCGGTTCTCAGAGAAGCAGCCTGTGCTTGCCAGAGGGCTGTCACCAAGCAGAACAGCCTTAAATAGGGATATTGTTTCCTTTGTCTATAAGCCAGAGCACTGTTTCAGTCACCCGAGTGCTGTGGTTAACACATCCGAGAGCTGTGTGGAGGTTCGAGGAGCAGCGCAGCAAAAAATATGAGACACACCAGACCCCAATTAAAGCCATGAGGCTGAATTAGGCAGCCTGTAAACAAAAGCTTGTTTCTGAGGGCCACTCGGAGGATCCGTTTGGGTCGTGTGTTGGACTTCATCAAGTCGTGTAAGCAGTGTTGGGGCCGCTGTTTAATATCCTGGAAATGGATCTCTGGTGGGCTCTTGTTTTTACATTTTCCTTTATAAATCATCATTTTTAAAAATATTGGTACCAAGGGCTGTTGATATTCTGGAGGTATTTTTTTCATTAAAACGATTATGCAGACTTCACGATGACAACATGGTGAGATTATACTGGAGAGAGGTCAGGCCAGGTGAACAAAAAATGTGAATAAAAGCTCTAACTTTATGGAAGTTAAACTTAAAGGTGGGGTCGGCAGGATTCCATTAAAGAAGCATCTTTTTTGTGGTGTTTATACAAAAAAGCTTTTAATATCAGTCAGTAGCTATTAGTTATTGATGACATTTGGCAATATCACGATATCACTGTGTTCTCTTATTCCTGTTTTGAGCGGCCTGCACTTTCTGACTGTAAACAAAGCCATTCTCCACCTTCCCAACCTGATTGGTTGTGAGGTGGATGCTGCTCCCTCATGTCCTGTGGCACGCCCCACGTCCTCCAATAACGTGCACGAGCCCAAACAAAGTTAGCGTGCTACAATATCGGACAGTAGAAACCAACCAGAAAGTTCGGAAAATTGTCTGAATCCTCCTTTGGCCACGACTGCCGACACAAGCAAGAAAACAAAGTAAATACCGGAGACTCTGGAGGAATAACGGGCGCTTAAAACAGAGTTAGACCGGACAAGAGCTAAAAAAGCCGGGTCAACATAAACGATGGGGGACGCTTGGGGATCTTGGTGACCCTGTAACCTTTCCGCTGGACAGGTAAACCGCTTTAACAAAGTAAGACAAGTGTCTGTAACAGAAGTGTTTCTTGTCAAACGGACCTGCTGTAGCGTGTTGTAGCGCCATCGCTAAACTGTCCTCCCTCGGGTCCTGGACTATGTCACTTTATCCTCGTTGTAGAAGTCCTGCAAACATTGTGTTTGCTGGTAGTCTGTTGGCATCTACAGTAGCACCAATGCTTTTGACTTTCACCTTGACTGGGCCCCATTTGTAATGATCTGAAGTATTTATCTGCATTATATCTGAATTTAATTGAAACAATATGAGCGAGCAGGAGCGTCTGTTTGTGGGCGGGGCTTGTTGGAGCAGAGAGGGAGGGGAGAGGAGGAGCCAAAACTGGTTGGGAGGGGTAGAGTTTACTTTTAAGATTTCTCCTAAAAACTCGTGCTTCCCCAGATCCTGCCTACCCCACCTTTAACAGGTGAAGGGTGTTAGTTCACAAGACAAAGTAAGGTTGTGAATTTATTGAAGTCAAACTATAAACCTGTTTATAAATTTACAAATGTAGTCTGAAAGTTGCAATAGTAAATTTACAGAATTAAAGACATAAATTTACAAGAGACGTGTTATAAGTGAACCAGGATACAATCAGAAAATAACAAAAGAACTATTAGAATATTTGCAAGGTGGTGTTTTTATTCTACTAGGCCAGTTAACAGTTAAATCTATGTGTGTAAAGTTTTATATCAACAAGGATGAAGTTGAGAATTCACAGGAAGGAAGCTGTCGATCCAAAACTCCAAATCAACAAGTCAAATTTATCAGAGTCCGGCTGTAAACTCACAGATTTGAAGCTGTAAAGGGTGACGGTGTATATTCACAAGAAGAAAGTTACAATCAAAAATCATTTTTTTGATGTGTGTGTCTCTGGAGATAAAGTTTCCTAAATTCAAAACCTGCAAAGCTTTTTAAAGACACTCTGAGGACTGAAACAGACTGATGTATGCACGTGCAGATTGATTCCTGTTGCAGAGTCTAAATTATTAAGGAGCTGCAGACTTCTCCAAGGTTGCAGGTAATGATTCAGCTCTCAGTTCTGGGTGATTTGGAGACGACCGATGAAAAGGAGGAACGGGGGTTTTATTCACCTGAGACAACCCCGACCACACACCTGTCAGCGTTCACCAAGAATCTTTATTTCAACGACAAATCAGAGCGGCGGAAGTGAAAGCCTAATCTGAGAAATAAAGACATCAGACCTAAGTAGGACATAGAAACGTCCTCGTCATGTATCACACCTGCATACATCAATCCTGTTGTAGAGCAGTTGTCTTCACACGCCCTGAAAAGGCCCCAGTGTTTACAACCTCTCTCATCCCCACTTCACAGGAGCGGGGAGAAAAAAAAAGACTCCCTTTCAATAAATTGTCCCTATCAGAGCGGAGCATAAGTCGCAGTCTCTGCATCAGATTTAGTGGTGTCACTAGGCGCTAATGAATTCTCCCTGCTCGCCCCCGCATGTCCATTGAGCCTCTGCAGTGAGTCTTTCCAATCGGGCGGGTTTGCTCGGCGCGGAGCTATCGATAACGAGCCCTGGGGGGCTTGCCAGCGAGCGCGGCGGGGCCCCGTAATGAAGGAGTCCAGGGCTGCGCCGGGAAAACAGGCGGCGTAATGAGGAGCGAGCGAGGGAAGTGGAGGTAGCCGGGGTTGTTTGGGTCACTGTAAGGGGAGGAGAAGCTGCAGGAGTCACCGAGGAAGGATGTGACTTTGGAGACTGTGTGGAGATGAGTGTGTTCCAGGTCATGTCTGTAAAGTGGAGCATTATAGGCTCTGTCTCCTGGATGTGGCGCGCTGCCTTCTGGCGTCGATGATTGGCAGAAAGGTTCCTCCTCCATCTGTTCGAGCCGTCCAGACTTTCCAAACAGATTTGAGTTTGCTGCTTTGTCTGCAGGGCCGTAGTCAGGTTTTGTTGACTGGGGGGGCCCAACCCTATAGGAGAGGACAAAATGGTCCCATTTCTTAAGAGACTTGAACAGACCACTGACTAATTCCTGGACCAGATTTTAGGAGCACAGCGTGGAAACCCGCCTAAAATCCGCCCACCTAACCGTCTATTCAGGCATTTTTCAGAAAGTTTAGTCCAATTCCTGCTCAATCTTTTCAGTAAATTGGGCTTCCTGTTTGGGCCGCTGAGTTGTGAAACAGCTAATTGAGCGAGATTTGAGGAGAACTGTGAGCCGTGTTGTGTCAATTTACGGCTCGAGCTTTAGACACAGCTGATCATTATCCACAAAAGGACACAGACTTGCTTCCATCGGGTTTCTCAGCCACTTTTTTTGCCTCTCTTTCACAGCTTAATGGAGCTCTGCCCTGCCCTGATGTCGGGGTCTAGCTGGAAATTAGTTTCTTTTATTTTCTCCGTGATTTAAAAAAGAAAGAGAGGGTAAAGGTGAGAAAACAAACAAGACACACAAATGGTCAATTTTGGCACCCGGAGAAACAGATCTCATAAAAACCGTCCAATAAGGCAATTTAAGGAACAATAACCACATCATATCCTAGGTGGTGCATGTTTGGTATCTGCCTCTAAGCAGATTAAACCTTCTATTAAAACAGCATCGACCTGCCGTTTGTTGGGTCTCCGATAATTGCCTCCTCAATCTCCGCCAAGTCCGGCTCTTATCGCCGCTGTCACGGGTAAAGGTCTGAGGGGTCGGCATGTTAATTTGAAACAACTTTGGCTTATTTCTGCGAGTCTCAGACCTGGGAAGGATCTCCACCAAACCAGGTTTTGGTAAAGGCCTCGGATCTTGATTGATTCCTCAAAAAGCTGCACGTTGTTTATATGAAATCAGTGCATCCATCTGCTGGTGTCAGATCAGTCAGGATAACAGGTTACGAGTATGCAGGCAGTAATTAATTCTGCAATCTCTATTAATTAAATGAATACCCGAGTCTCCCCCAATACACTCAGTTTTGCGGCACGTCTTTTGCTCCCTCTGCCTGAAACGCAGCCTCCGATTTCTTTCAGCTGTGAGATGAAATTATACTAACAGATGATGAAAGAGGAGCGCCTGATGCAGATGGATGCTCTGAAAGGAGAACCATCGGGGAAATGCAGTACGTACGCATGATCCTGTGAATTAGGATAAAATGGAAATCCCTGTCTGTGGTTGTTATCCATTTAGCGAGCGCTGAATTGAAATGGGTTAAAGCTCTAATAACCTGGTTAAACGCTTCAGTGTGCCGCGAGCGTCAGCTTAGCAAATAATCCACGACAATCAGCATGTAAACTTAATCACGGCAGGCTGATCAAATGGCGGCTCGGTTGAGGACGAAGCGGGTTATTTCATCGACCCGCTCCACTGGTTTCTTTTCGTCACACTTCGGTTTTAATTCAAGAGAGACTGTCGGACAAATTGTTGACAAATTGGTCGTATACGCTGCTAATTATCTTTGTCGTATTAGCCGTGAAAAACCAATGTCAGTCACCTCTTTGAAGCTAAATTGGCTCATTCCTTGTGGTTGGAGTCGGTCTTTATGCAAAATGTCGTTAAAAAATGGCATGATTGGTAGATGGGGGTGGCTGGTGGTTTTGCTACATCGCTGTATGGCATCGTGAAAATAATAATAAAGAAGAAGACCCTCAGTGCATCATGGGCAGTTGCCTCCATTGAGTTTTTGTCCATGTAGACAGGCAAAGATGACAACCAGCAAATGAGACACACATTTGTTGAACTAGACAACAAATGTTGTGTGTTTTCTTTCAGCACTTAAAGGTGGGGTGGGCAGGATCTGAGGAAGTGTCAGTTTTGGGGAGAAATCTTGAATGTAAACTCTACCCCTCCCAACCAGTTTTCCCCTCAGCTCCTCCTCTCCCCTCAGCTCCTCCTCCCTCTCTTAAGCCCCGCCCACAAACAGACGCTCCTGCTCGCTCGTATCGTTCAATTAAATTCAGATATAATGCAGATAAATCCTTCAGATCATTACAAATGGGGCCCAGTCAACAAAGTAAACAGCATTGGTGCTACTGTAGATGCCAACAGACTACCAGCAAACACAATGTTTGCAGGACTTCTACAACGAGGATAAAGTGACATAGTCCAGGACCCGAGGGAGGACAGTTTAGCGCAATACAACACGCTACAGCAGGTCCCGTTTGACGAGAAACACTTCTGTTACAGACACTTGTCTTACTTTGTTAAAGCGGTTTACCTGTCCAGCAGAAAGGTTACAGGGTCACCAAAATCCCGTAAGCGCCCGTTATCCCGCCAGAGTCTCCGGTATTTACTTTGTTTTCTTGCTTGTGTCGGCAGTCGTGGCCAAAGGAGGATTCAGACAATTTTCCGAACTTTCTGGTTGGTTTCTACTGTCCGATATTGTAGCACGCTAACTTTGTTTGGGCTCATTAACGACACGGGGGAGCAGCGTCTGCCTCACAACCAATCAGGTTGGGGGAGGCGGAGAACGGCTTTGTTTACAGTCAGGAAGAGCGGGATGCTCAAAAAATTCCAAATGTTGATTACACAGTATAACGAAACACAGCAATGTTGTTATAATACCAAATGTCATCAATAACTAATATCTATTGACTGATATTAAAGCTTTTTTGTATAAACACCACTAAAGATGCTTCTTTAACAGATTCCTGCCTACCCCACCTTTAAGTTTGACCGTCTAACTCTGCACCTGTTTGGGTTTCCCTGGCTTTTGCCGCCAGCTTTAAACGGGCGCTCGCTGTTTTCGCACTCCTGCATTGGCTTCATTTCTCTCCACTTGCAATTGCCTCTCTGTTTGGACGCTTTGTTTCCCTGCCATCACCTCGGGGACTGAGAGATTGTGCTTCCTGACGTGTTGCTGAGCCAGTTCATCCAGAAAAAATGAATTCTTGGTCAGCAAAGGTCTCGAGTCTGACCTTGGTGTGGGGGCCTGTTGGTGCAGCAAGATGTTGGTAGCAGTGTGGTCGGCAGGTGTAGGCATGGTGCCAGGAGGGAGCTGCTTTTATATTCATCACTTGTTAGAAGGGGGGAGATGGGTGAGGCAAGAGCACATGCTGCTGCAGAGCTACCAGCGTATGTAGCGGTGTGACCATCGGCCACTTTTCGACCTTGGCATAACTTTAATAAGTCGTCCAGCAGTCACGACTTAAAGACTTTTAAAACTCGGATACAAATCAGCGACAAAGTGGAGAATTTTCTGAATGTGCTTTTGATTTGAAAAGCTCTGTGTGAAAAAAACTCTCCCAAAAAAAAAAGACGTCTCTTCAGTTTTTAAGCTGCTCATTCATTTGAAGAAAAAAGCGCATATTCAACC